TGTATATACACAAAATCCACAAAGTTCAGTAAATTATCCAATAAAAAATTCAATTTCAGCATTTTAGACAATTGAGAAAATTAATTTATTATCCGTTGTATCGAGATATTTTTATTATGGTCGAACATATAGATTTAAAAAAAAAATCCGCAAAATCGAATATATTATTAATATGAAATCCGTTAAATCGAGATAATAATAAATTATTATTACATATTAATATGTAAACTCGATAAGTCGGTCGTGAATATTAAAACAATGGGGTGAAAATTTTGGCCGACTTATCGAGTTTAGAAAAATTTGGTTTTGAAAATTTATCCGTTAAACCCTAAATCCGCTAAAATTGAGGTCCGCTAAATCGAGACTCACTGTGTAACAAAATGGGAGGTGCGAATAACAATTTCCCTATTATTGGGAAAAAAAACCGTTTTACGGAAAAAAAATCAATTAAATCAGGCTTGAAATTGTAACTTGAAATAATAATAATGATAACCAGTTTTTTCTGTTAATCCGGATTTAAACCAGATTTAATTTATAATAATAACGGACGCTTTAGGACAAACTTCAATATTAATATCAATTAATGATTATATACATATAGTAAACAAATATGCTTAACCATTTTTGTAATATTAATTGAATTGGTAAATATCAAAAATCCTCATGCACATCGTGTGTGTGTGTGTAATGTTAACAAAGGAAAATATGGGAAATACAAAATGAACCTTAAAATTTGTTGCATAAAAGAGTCTTTAATCTTTCGTTTGATTAATTAATTTTCTTTTTTCCTTTATCAATTTGAAATTTGGAATTTGGAATTTTAATTTTTTCTTTTTTTATATATTTTTTATTCTATTAAAAAAATGTCAAATCAGCAAACTCCGGAGTTACTGCAGCAGCATGTAAGTCAATTAAAGAAACTACATAAGCTTCAACTAGAGCAACTACATCAGCTTCAACTAGAGCAACTAGGTCAACTTCAACCAAAGCAACTACAGCAGCAGCTAAAGCAGCTACAGAAGCAGATTATGTCGCAATTAAAACAATCACAATATCAACAAGAGCAAGATTTCCTGCTGTTTCTGCAGCAACAGACATGTTTGCTTCCACAACAATCGAAAAAAGATAAGATAAGCCCACGTAGATACTCTCTACTTGCATGCGACTCATGCAATAAAGGACACCAAGCCTGTGTGATGGAAAAAGGATCTACTTCTTGTAATAGGTGCATTGGTAAAAAAAAATGCACTTTTTTTGGATCTCGCGAAAAAAGAGGCCGCAAGCCTCGTAGAAAAGACAAACAAAAAGTAAAAAGCAATCTTTTTTTTCAAAAATTTTCTTTGCTTCAAATATTGATTTATTTTCTTTGATTAATAGGAGAGTTGCGATAACAGCAATGTTAATATCGTTAACATTGCTGTCGGTGACCAATGTTGTCATAATAGCAGCGAACCTATACCTGATTTACGTGAAGGTGTTTTGTGTATTTTGAGACCAGGTATCTAATTCATTATTATTATGATAATATTGATAGAATTATCAGTAATAATAATAGAAATAATAATAATAATAAAAATACTAATAATAATATACGTATGTGTTTTCATAGATATTGTTATTGACAAAGCTAACTTGAAAGGTAAATGGATAAAAAATATTAAACTCAATATCTTATAATTTTGAGTAAATTTTTATATGCAATTTTCTTAATAAAAATAGAAGATAATTCTTTGAATCAAGAACGGCAAGCACTGCTTGAAGGTAGTGATATAACATCACAAGGTTTTGATGCTTTTACAGAAGATGAGATTATTCAATCGTTGTTTTATAATAAATAAATTACTTTTATGTATATTTTTTTCATAAATAGTATATAATATCCTATTCTTTTTATTTACTTTTTATTATTTTTTTTTTTCGCAAATGAATTTTTCATTGTTATTTTACTGGATAAAATTCACAATAAAATTTTTAAAAAAGGGATAATCAACAAATTTATGCTTATTGATGAAGTCACTCATGAAACTTTTTTTAGAAAAAAGAAGAAATTTTTTTAATTATATACCAAATTTTATTCTTAATCATTGGGGAATGATTTATGATAGTGAATTTTGTTTACAAGTTCCTATTCGAATAAAAGGTGCTATTTGAAAAAGTTGTTATTCAAACCAATGAATTATTTGACATGTATTATTGCAAGAAAAATATCTGGCCTTCGACAAAGTTAAATGATTTGGAAACTTTATAAATTAAAAGTTTGTTGCAGTACTGAATGGTTGTATTACCAGAATAGTGATGAAGGTTGGTCGATTTGCTATACCGTGATTATAAAGACTTTGGAAAAATTCTTCAAGTGTTCATTTTTTTAGTTGATAATTTTGTTCTATAAATATAATATAAAATTAAAAATTACATCATCTAAACTAATACTAATAAAGAAATAATTTAGAAAAAAAAGTAATTTACAAATCCCGATTAATTTTTGCGATCTGCAACTAGAAGATTCAGTTTTTTAATTATCAGTGAAATGATTGACCTAAAAAATCATTATAAAACTGAGTCACTTGGTCAATTAATTAATATTTCAGAGCCTTGGTAATGAGTAGAGGTGGAAATATTTATTTATTATCATTAATTAATTGTAAAAACAATTTCATACATAATAATAAATAAATAAATTCATTATTTTGCTTATAAAAAAACACTTGTATTTGGAAATTAAACAGTAGGGTTTAATTGTCCATCTGGTTATCAGAGTGGCATAGGATTCTGAGGTTTTGTTTGTTTGCTTTGGTATAAAGCAAAGAAAGTTTTGATGTTGGTTAACCAGTGTAATGTCAACAACAGTTGGTATAGAAATGGTATTTCCCATAATTAATTTCATAATTATGTTTTAAAAGAAAATGGTAATTAATTACAATAATTACGAATTATATATTTATGGTAATTAGGTAATTACCATCTCGTGTATATAATTAATACAATAATTTGAAAATAATAAAATAAAATATCACTCACAAGAGCAAAGGACATTCTCATCTAAATGTTAAAACAATGGTTCAATTAACAGGGTTTCCTTTTACCTAAAAATTAAAATAAATAAAATATAAATATAATTGCATGACCTTATTCTTATACCTTGATTAATGGAATTTCTTAATCCCATATATTATATATATAATCACCTTGATTTACATCTCATACAATGGTATAATTGTCAAAATATTTTAACATTATTTTTATAACCATTCTTGAAAGAATCTGTTATAAATATTGCAATTCTCTATTCTATATTATTATAAAAATTTAGATAGAATTCTTGAAGGCAAAAATGTTTAATATCCTCAAATTTTCAGTAAATATTTTCATGTTAATAATTTTCTATAAACAAAATATATAATTTCAAAAATCAAAGTTTAGAGATTTAACTATTGCGCCTAAAACTATTAACTAAAGTTCATTCCAAAGATTAAAATTGTGTTTATTATCCAACTTCTTAGTTATTATTACTATTACAGTATTCTAGAACTCCAACAGTGGTGAGACTTCATTTTAAGATTATCCACTTGGTGCTATTTGTTTACCTGGCAAAAAAATAGACCATTAAATCAGGCAAGTTTGTTTATACTAGAGTGATATTTTTCTTCGATTTTACATATAAAATTATACGAGTGACACTTGACTCCCTGTATTTACGCAATTTCCCGCGACTGATATAAAAAACGATATATTACTTGTATTACTGTGGCACGCACTGTACTAAAATTTTCCCTTTTTCGGATTTCCTAAATTTTCCAAAATTTTCCTAGTTACACAGCTAGTTTTTATAGTTTTTAATAAAAGCATTTTCGCTCCTTTTTTTTTATTCCAATTATTAAAAAAATGTCAATCCAGCAATTTAAAGAGTTACAGCGGCGGCATGTGCTGGAACTATACAAAGTACTAGATCAACAAAACCAGTATAAAAAGACAAAACTATTAGAGCTGAAGCAACAGTTGGAGCAACAGTTGGAGCGACAATTAGAGCAACAGTTGGAGCAACAGTTGGAGCAACACTTGGAGCAACACTTGAAGCAACAGTTTGAGCAGCAAGTAATGCAACTATTATGTAAACAAGACCAAGAATTCCGATTGTTTTTACATCCAGCTTCACAACAAATAGAAAAAGATAAGATGCGCCCACGTAAATACTCTCTACATGCGTGCGATTCGTGCCGTAGAGCACACCAAGCGTGTGTAATAGGAGAGAGCTCTGCTTCTTGTGGTAGGTGTTTTAAGAAAAATTTTGAATGCACTTTTGAAAGGATTCCCAAAAAAAGAGGCAGACCTAAAAAAAAATCAAAGGTAAAACATCTTTTTCTTTAAAAAAATTTTCTTGTTTCGAGTAGTGATTTATTTTCTTTTTGATTAATAGGAAAACAGTAATAACAGCAATGGCCACCAATGTTGTTATAGTAGCAACGAACCTATACCTGATTTACGTGAAGGTTCCAGTGCTTTTTGAGTTCAGGTATGTTTAATTCATTATTATTATGACAATATTGATAGAAGTATTAGCAATAGTAATAGAAATAATAATAATAATAACATAAAATACTTATATATTAATATATTAAATTTTTATATGTGATTTTCTTGATAAAAAAAATATAGAAAGCAATTCGCACTATTTTGAAGGTGTTGATATAAGGTTACTACTGGTAGTAACTATCTATTTTTCGTATATATATAATATATATTATGTGAATATAAAAATTTTACAAAATAAAAAAATTGTTGCTTTTATTATTTTTTTTTCAAAATGAAATTTTTTTTTCAAAATGGATTTTTTAAAATGGAAATAAGAATAGGAATTTTGTTTATTTTTTTTGTCTCATTAATTTTTCTATAAATAAAACTAATACAGAAAAAACAAAGCTTCAGCCATTCCCAATTAATTTAGAAATAATAATAAAAATAATAGCTAATAATATATAACAATATGTACGTAATTTCGTAAATCATAATATTAAATTTTTTACATGCGATTTTCTTGATAAAAAAAATAGAAAGTAATCGGAACAAGCACTGTTTTGAAGGCGGTGATATATAATGTATTAATATCCTCATCTTTTCAAAGTACACTATCAACATATTCACATCCATTCATATCTTCGCATGATACTTCTGACATTCAACAATAACAACCTTGTTACTGGAAGTGGCAATTTGACAGATTCATCACTTCAAGCTCCGTTAAACATCAGCTTCGATCTATTCAATGCATATTTGTTTACACACCAACTTCAATGAGGCAAAATTCCGCCTGGAAACATTTTAGCGATTTTGTGCTTGATCCAAGTGCATCATTATTTCCTATTCATCCTTCATTCCATCTGCTGATTTTGATACTTTTAGTTTTGTTATTAATTATAGTGGTGATGATGATTTAGAAGATCCGATGCAATACCGTAATTTGTTAGTATTAGTGTATGGTTTGCCAGCACATTTAACAATGCTTCATCAATGAATGATCAGAACATAAATACCGCATCTATTGATAATCACCAATTCGGTGTTCATATTGGAAATAACAAAAAAAGAATTGTATTCTACATTTTATTTTATTTTTTATTTTATTCAAAAAAAGAAATTCTTTGCATATACATATATTATCTACACAAAAAGCATTTCACTCATCCTCTTAACTCATAATAAAATCCCTTCGCTGACCTTTACCTCTCCCCTTCTATGTAAGAATGTTATTTGAAATCATTTTAATTTTATTATTATTCCAACTAAATAGTTTTTTTTTTAATGTTTCTAATTTAGAATGAATGTTGGTAATATTAATATATACTAATATGAAGAATCCTTTAAATCCGTTAAACCAAGATAATAATAATAATAATAATAATAATTATTATTATTACAGTCAGACTCCTCTATAATCACATGGTCGGTACCAAAGATTTTTGGTGATTATAGCTAATGTGACTGTATAAGATCCCTCCTATAGTGATTATAAAAAAAAAATTTTTTTTATAATAATAATAATGAAAATAATTTCAATTTTAAACTTCTTTTGAGAAAAAAATCTTTCTCTCAAATATTTATTTTATATTTTTTTAAATTTTTATAATCATTCTCATTAAACTCTAAATCATTTTGATGCTCAAAATATTCAATCAAT